TGAAACTTTGAATCTTCAGTTCATTTAAAACAATAATTAGGGTTTAGGGTTGTGATTAGCGTGAATCAACAATTTTAGTTGAGCTGGGAAAATCCTCTGTGATTCAAGAAAGAAAAAACTTTTTGGATGAATACAAAAGGTCGAGTTTGGTTATCGGGATGGACAGTGGTTCCAAAATAAGCCCAGGGAAACGTATGCAGCCAAGAAAGTCAAGGCTCCGCCATCTATTTGTACTTTACGATAAAATAATAGTCGACATTAAATATCAACTTAACTTTTGTGATTCAATTTTTGAAAGGTTAAACCGAGAAAAAGTCCAGAAAATCATTAGGGGTGTCCTCGGAACATCCTTTTGCAGGTGCACCGATTCTACGCCCCCAAACTGCCTCTGAACTGCCTGCAATACGATACCCACATAACATGGATGTGTCCGGTTAAACCTCGCAGAATATCCTAAATGCTATTGAGTAGTAAAAAAACATAGGGCCTATTTAATTACTTTTGTAACCTTAATTATTTAAGCGGCACCTCTTGTTTATTAGCCTTTGTTCTTACAGTTATCCAACAACAAAAAGTAATTCAGTGCTATTTTGACTAGTTTCTTTCTTGGAAAATTTTATTTTCAATTGTTTTGTGACATAGCCGAAATAAGGTCAAAGAAGAAAATTGAGTCGCAGATTTATTACAACAAATTCTGTAATAATGTATGGCCTAATCTTCGTACGAAGGCAGTTTTCAAATTCAAGAAAATTGTTCAGTATTTGCTGCAAAGCAGAATATTATGTGTAAACAGTTGGTTTTTAATGTTATTTCAAAACTACTCATTTTCAAGAATAATTTTCCGATGTCCCTTCTGTTTACTTATGCGACAACATATTGCGTTACCGAGCTTGAAGGCGCTTTGAAATTAGAATATTTATTTCTGAAGTTAACTTTATCATAGGCCTACAGTGTTATGAAATAAAATCATTTTGTCATTAAACATTTTATTATAACAGAATTTCAGAACTCTAAGAGAATCTGAGTCTGAGTAGTTATGTAGTGATTTGACAGAAATTGTGCTCTTAGCCGATTTCCCTATAGGGAAGTACTGTAGCTATTACCATTGACTATGAACGTAGCTGTTGGTGGCATGGTAAGACCTAGACTCGGGACCGATTTACTTTTTCGTTTTGATGTCCCCAGAGGCCAAAACACAATTCATTCAAATTTGTATATAACTTGTGTACAAGTTTTCAAAAATTGGGTTTTCAAATTGTTTACCTTCCCCGTAGCAGGAAACCTATGTTAATGAGCAATGTTGTGGTTGTGTTATTTATGGGGAATAACTAGGTCTTGTTTATCAGGAAACCTATGTTAATGAGCAATGTTGTGGTTGTGTTATTTAAATGGGGAATAACTAGGTCTTGTTTATGGAAATATTTTAGTAAAGATCCAATCAGACAAATTGGAATTCTCATAGCTTGCAGGTTAACTGCAGCGGTAGTATCACTTGAATTGAGCGTACAAAGTTACAATGTTAAAAATGAACAAAAATGCTGTTCAATTGGTTCTTTATAAAAGTCATATGTGACATAATAATCTGAACTTTTTGTTCATGGTCAGATGTTTAACTACCACTACCAAGCTCCTGTGAATTACTGAACACTTTTAAGACCTTGTTGCAGCTTGCTTAATACTTGGACAATGCATATTCCAATGACTACTAATACATTTGAGAGCATGAGTTCTAGAAACTTGTGAAACCAGAAATTAAAACCTCCACAAACCAAACCTCTCCCGTCAGTTGAAAACTCCTTCTCATTCCCCTTTCCCTTACACAATTATGTGCCAAGAATCGAGTCAAACTAAACTCATTTTGCTTCAAATTTTCTTTAAATCTATAATCTTACTTGATACAATAAGGGGTTCTCTGAGAAATCCCTTTTCCAGCCGTCCTACCTTATGACCCAACAGATGTATGAAAAATTGTAAATAAAATTATAATTTCTTTAAGAGCTTTGCACTCTTTGTTTGATTTATTTCTAGTGCTTTCATAGATTGAGTGATGGCGCATCTTTTATGTACCTTGATGCTGACTAACAATATTTATGAAGATTTGAATGTGAATTATAATTGAAAATGGATTTTTAAGATTTAAGACAATTTTATTGTAACTTGGGAGTTAGTTAAATCTCTCAGTTTTAGTATCTAAACCTAACAACTTTAAAATAGTAGTTTTATTCATCTAATACCTGTCTTAAAACAAACCACATATAAATTAAATACCCCCGCCCAAAAGCGCTTCCTTCGCCTGGTTGGTGTTTGAGCAGAGATTCGCTATACAGATGTAAGTACTGATCAGGTTGCAGCCCAACTACAATTGCTGCCACTTTCATCAAGACAAACTGCATTGGACCTGATTTTCCTGTACAAAATTGTTAACTACCTGGTGGACTGCCCCGAGATTCTCCAAATGTTGAACTTCCAGGTTCCTCAGAGAACACGGCTACAGAAAGTCTTTGCCAAGCTGCACTATATACTACCCTACCTCCTATATGTACCAGAGTCCTGTACCTCGTCTTATGCGTCTCAGAAACAGCACCCACCTCGAGTTCTTCGGAGTTGGTCATGCTGCCTTCAGAAGAGATGAATTTTTGAGTGTTGTGAGCCTTGCATGTAGTGAGTCAATGTAGTGTTGCACCTTGTGTTTTTTTATGATCAAGCATGGTTAAATTAAACATCATCTCTCGTTCATTTGATCCTGTACTTGTGTTTGTTTTGGTCAGAGTCTAGGGTTACTATTGTATGTACTATTTATTAGTATTGTTGATTACGTATCGTATGCATCTTGTGTCTCATTTCAGTTGTATGTCTTTGCTCGTTCAACCTGTAAAAAACCACCTGTACTTTTTCTTGTAATGCTACCTTCTTTCTTTTTAGCGATTTTCCCATATAGGGAATAAGCTATTACCGTAGTACTCATGGTAAGATCTGGACCCGGGACCGATTTAATTTTTCGTTTTGAGGTCCCTAGAGGCGCTATGTGTGTCCGTTAGCGCAATAACTCAAGCAAAAATGATCCAATTTTGATGAAATTTGGTACGAACGTGTAAACCTACGTTTATTCTAACGAGTTCGCGAACCAGCATAATCGGACCATGGGAACGGGGTAAAATTGGATTTTCCCATTTTTGACCCTAAAAATAAAAAAATTACCATTTCTTTTTAAACCATTTTGTAGAGCTTAAAAAAGGAAATAGCTTAGTATATTGAAGCGCTGTTGTATGCCTAACGGTCACGGAGAAAATTCAAAAATAGTGTAATTTAAAATTCCCATGTTATTCTTATAGAGGAAATGATAACGGTTGTACTTGTTTATGGATATATTGATAAAATTTGGCAAATTTATTCATTTCATTCTATTCTATCGACATATGGTCAAAAAAACACTTTACCAGCAGCAAATCTAAGCATTCGTTAAATCTAATGTTAATTAAATTGGGAATAATTATGTCTTATTTATGGAAATATTTTAGTAAAAATGTAATCAGACAAGTGGAAATTCGCTTAGTCTGCAGGTATTTTGGTTTGTTTAGAGTCTGATTTTTACTCACTATTCTATGCAATATTTATTAATATTGTCATTATGATTTGTGTGCATCTTGTTTCTCATTTCAGCACTATTAGTTACCTTTATATCCTCTTGCATGTCTTCTTGTAATGACACCTCATTCTTGCATGGCTTCTTTTTGTTCAGAGTCCACTTGCTACGCTATATTTAGTATTTATTATTGCTTGTTATCTCACAAATTTAATGGTATTTATTGTACAATGGCTTTTGAAGTGAATAAACAAATTGAATTGAATTGTTAAGTGATGCAATTAGTGTTTGGTACTATGTTTCACTGCATCACTGTCAGTGGCATTGAGAGGATATGAACAAAAACATAACCTCTCTTAGAAGTTATGAGCTGTGATTTTTAGTAATTAAAACACTGTCATAAGTAAAGTAAATAGTGTTAACAGGGCTGGTACTAAATTTTGAAAGTAAATTCCCTGACTGATATTACAGTTTTTCCAGATATACTGCAAGTGGATATTGATTTTAAATAAAAATCAAGAAATATTAGAAAAAATTTAATTAATTAACTTATTTAATCACTCACAAATACAAAACTTGTTTCAAACTATATACATATCGATTTCTCCCCCGTACCAATAACTATCGATGTAAAAATGTGCATCAGTGCTTTTTTCGTTCTTTTTGCCATTAGTCACCACCCTGACAAAAACATATTTAGAGCAAAATGTATCTGTAATTTATATATCTGTAAAAAGGTAGTCTTTCAGGAAAAATTCCAGAATTTTTTCATAATCCCATACCAACAAAGTTCCCTGTCTTTTCCAGGTTTTACCTGACCGTACCAACCTTGGAAACTACATTGATAGCTAGCTCAAAACAATATGGTCTGCGTTTTAATTTAATACAAGAAAGATTAAGTTAATACTTTCTGAAACACAAAGGTTTAAATGAGTGATTTGGACTAGGTTGTTTTAAAAACTCTGAATGGCTTAATTTTTTAAGTCCACAACTACTCTGGGGGTACAAAACTCAATGGAATTGACTTACTTCGTACTACGCTGAACATAAATCTCTATACCAATAAAATGCAAAGCCCTCACTGACTGACTCACTTACTTATCACTAATTCTCCTACTTCCCCATTTACATATAAGACTGAAATATGATACACCAACCCGGTACGGCAATCAATAGTTACCGGTAATGCTTATGAAGTCAAACAAGGAGAAGCCCACCACAGCTAGTCATCGATAAAGGTGACTAACTGTGGGACAAAAAAAGTAAATTCCCCAAAAATTATTAGAACTGAATCAAAATTCTCCAAAACAACAATTTTTTTCCAATGAGGATGCTTCCAAAAAGTGATTCAAGTAGGGCTAACATACCTTCCCCCAAAGAAATGCAATTTCTACAGGGAAAGAGATAACACAACAAATTGGTGGAACGTAATATAATTTTAATCAATTTCCTAAATACACATGAAAGCACTTCAGTAACAAATATCAATATTTTCTGTACAATGAAATGGAACTAGATACCCTATGTTGTTAGTTCAATTTAATGTGGTACTTTTCCTTTTGACTTTTATGGTCCGGCAACAATGTTGGAATAGAAGAAGGGTTTCCTACGTGTTGTCCTAACACATCATAAGCTTTTCAGAATGCTTTTGAAGACATGAGGACAAGTTGCTAAACAAGACAAGCTGCCGGTAACTCTCGCCATTGCAGTGTAGTTTCTCTAAAACAGAACGGCTGTGATAACCAAGTTCATAAATAGCACTAGATAATGTTTAACCAAATAAATGGTTAATATAATATAAAAGAGTATGAGCTAAATAGTATGAAATAATTGGTGTATATCAACTTTTTAATATTGACATACTTGGAATTGCCTCTTTACAAATTATTGAATAAAATTTACATTTACACTAATTGGTTATGGAAAATATGTTATTAAAAACCTATTTACACCAAGAGAAAATTTACTGTTGATAGAATACGGGCTACAAAGAATCCTAAAAGGAAACTCTGTGAAAAATCTATCATTAATGTATGCCCAATAGAAACCATAACCTCAAAAATGGGAGTTGGCAAGCATTGGGCAAATTAATCAGTATTAATTTTACAGTAGACTCCCTCTTATCAGGCAGAAGTGACATCCCTGGTTTAAACAGACTTGATCACCACTAAGTGAACAGTACTGAAACGACTAGACCATTGATCACCATGTCAGGGATTACGGTACGACATTAGGTCAAACACTTAAGTATCTGTTTTAATAACATGCATAGTGAATACAAAATGATCATGATTGGCATTTTCATAGAATATATTTTATAAGGCAGTAAGGAAAACAATAAATAAAACATGCTTAACACTTCTTAAATTGTCTTGAAAACTTTAAATACAGTACTATTTAATGATGCTAAGGCAACACTCTACAAGGACAAAACTCAACTGGAAGAAGACCCCCAAGGAAGACCAAAGAATCGATGGAAGGACCAGGTGGATAAAGATTTGCAAAGACTGAAAGTAAGGAAAGAAGATTCGGAGAACAGGGAGAGATGGAGGCAACTTGTTGGTTTGTGGCCAAATACCACCTAGGGTATTCATGGCCATGGGAGTAAGTAAGTAAGGCAACACTCTACAGGGTAAAAAAAAAACAGCATTCAGTGGATCCTGATAGTGTTTCACGTAAATTAATAATTGTTGTTTGAGTTTGACTTGAACAGCACTTGACAAAATCAATGTAAAATTAAACATTGTAATGAGAAACACTGACAAAAGACGATATGAACCCGGGCAGAAATGCCAAACTGCTCTTGTTGACGTTCTGCAGACGACTTGTCCAGCTTACCAATGGTTAGCAGCCAACCTAGTAGGCTACTGCGATTTTTATTTTCTAGGCTCCTGCGAATTATTTGTACGTTCAAATAATACCTAAAAGCATTGTTTACTATACAGTTTTAAATATAAGAAATAAGAAATAACTCGCTATTTTTACTTAAAACATTTCTCATAATGTTATTGTTTTCCGACCGGAAATTGTATAACCCGAGGGCTTGGATAATTGAAAGTGTACTGTAGTGGCAATGGAGATGGATACAAGGAAGATTAATCTACACACATACAAAAACAAACACAGGCTATTAGAACTTAGGTGGTAAAAAATTTGGATCTTTACCTTGAGTGTGTTGACTCAGTCACGGATCTGCTTTCCACTTGGGATCTTCATGACTCTCGGACATGTTCCAGACTCAATGAGTTGGGGAAGATTAAAACGGCTGGGTCAGCTGAGATGCTATGAACATCTCACATCACCTGAATCCAGAAATATAGCCATAAGTAAACACACCACGTACTAATAATGTGACTAAAACATCATGCGACAAATTGTCGAAAAAAGGCTCTAAAAATAACTAACACCTTCAGAGAGAAAATACATTGTAGAAAGAATACGGGCTACAAAGATTCCTAAAGGGAATCTCTGTGAAAAATCTTTCACTTGCTGTATGCCCAATAGAAACCATAACCTACAAAATTAGGAGTTGGCAAGCATTGGGCAAATTACAAAAATACTGGTTCAATATATTTTAGAGGTAAGCATGGGTAAATTAATCAATTCACTATCAATTCATTTTGCTATTAACTATTTAATTATTGATTCTCAACAGTTTTTTTAGGTAATGTGGAACCCAACACAAAAAAACTGCTCCATTTCATTTAATCAATCTTTCAATGGACAAGCTGAACGCTTTGTGCAAATGATAAAAAGATGTTAAAATACGTGGAAGATGAACCCAATACGATTTTTATAACAAATTTCACAAAGCAGCAATAAACTCTTTTAAATTACCTAACACAACATGTAACTCTCCATATTATAAAATGTTCAAAAGACAGCTCTAAGTGTATAACATGGGTATTGAAGGGTGGGTATCGTGTTCAGGAGAGAAACTTCAAAGATGGAATAGGAGTTTTAGAAAAATCATATCAAGATTTTTTTTTTAATCTCTATTACAATATTGAACTGGATAATAGAGTAACATGCAGAAGACATGTGTAGATCAAATAATGCAGCCAAGGGGGAGAAGAACCAGCGTGTTTCTAACGAACAAAATATATTTTGAAAGTAGTGTCAGTTTTAGCAAGTCACACTATCAAGTTTCTCTGCTTTAAGAGAATAAATAGTTAAACGGTTGAATCGTGTAACATTCCACAACCAAAACAAAAAAACATTCAGTGGACTTCTGATAATCTGGAATTGTTGAGACTGACCTCATGCTGGATTACTGGGGATTAGACTATCAGGTGGTACCGCTCGGTGTCGCTAGATAAAATATACCATATTAGAGTAAATAGTCTTAACCCTCCATCGGTTACACCACTGAGTTTTCCTCCGTGAGCATTTGATTTTATAAAAAAATATCTACCCCACGAGCATCTTTCTAGGAACCAGTTTAACATTATTTTGATCTCACACCTGCCCTGCAAAACCCTTATTAATCAGATGAAGCTTGAAGTCACGTAGCACGGCGCCTGGCTACATGAGTCACCGATGGTGTTGTGTATGTTTTATAAAAATATTTAAGTAAAAATTTGATTGATTGTATGTACTATTTAATGCTTATGGTTTTAATACAAGATTCAACGCCCAGAAAAAACCCGAAGAAGGATTAACTGTGATATCATTGAGTTAAAATTTGCATTACTGTACTATAAATTTATGGTTCAGAACTGTTAAGGATATTTTTACTCGCAAATATGTTTTTACTAATGATCAAATGTAGGTTCACTTTAACACGTTCGCAGCGGCACGTCAAATGGCGGGCGTATCCCACGTGCGGCGCAGCCCTCAGCATCGAACAAACCCGATTGCCGCGTGTGAGTGGCTTTCCAATTTCGGTCTGACAAATAGCAAATAACGTGCGAGGATGTCCTGCTTTACAACGAGAGTCGACGTCGTTCGCTAAACACCCACAGATAGCAGCACTGCTTGTAACGTAGCCGGTCCCATTGGAATTGTATTGCCAAATGGAGGGAAAAAGACGGGACAAAAAGTAGAATTTTGAGATTGCCAGACGGGGATTTTACGGGGAAATTTACTACCAACTACACCACAACAAAATACAGTATACTATTGAGCAGTGCTGTGCGAGGTTTCAAGTTTCTAGCTCTAATCCTGGCTTAAAAATAAATCATTTCGTACTGCATTGCAGCTTGGGAGCGATCGCACCCACCAGGATGGCATTAGGGTTCCGTATGGGAGCGATGCCGCCGCGAACGTGTTAACTAAATTATTAATCTGTTATCTCATCAGTATGCATTTATAACTTACCTTGCATGACATCAAGGACCCAAGAAGATTCTTGTCTCGACCTTTCAGAGAATGCACAGGCATCCTGAAAGGTAAAATCAAATTGAATAATCTTATGAGAAAAAAAACCTAATTCATTTGTTTTCACTATTGCCTCCTAATTTGAAATGAAGGTCCCTAATATCCCTCATCATATTTACACTAAAGGAAGACTATGCTGGATGGCCCACTTAATAAGCCTCCTTGGTTGATATTTTCTAAGGCATGTATAGCTTGCTTAAATGTCACTAATTACTCATGGCAACTAATCCTCAAAATATAACAATGCATTTGTCTTCTTAGTTATTACAATAGATAGACCTAATCTTTTTATGTCTTTGTATAGCTTTTGTGGAGTTTCAGACATTGACTCAGATTTTTTGTTGGTTCTATACAGTTTCTTACTGTTCTGCATTTCCGACAATTCCTGATTAAAAAATTCTGTTTTCTGTCAGCAATTTGCTTTTAAATTTGTGATACAGTTATTAGCTTACAAGTGATATAAACCCATATTAATTAGTCAATGGGCAGTTTTTCTTATTGCAAAATTTACTTAAAATATTGGGTAGGTTTTGGCTTGCCTTTGTCAGTCCTTCTTATACTGTAGCTGATATTTGTGCATTGTGATATTTTATCACAATTTTTACTACCAGTAAATGAACTTGTACATTTGGAAAAGTTTGTGTAGCTACTTGAACGGATTTAACATCAAAACATAGTGATTTTCACATACCTATATTAGACCTAATGAAATTCTATTTTTTGATATCTTATCAAATTTCATGAGATGTTTTTTACACTCTCCTCAAGAATTTGTTTTCTCTCATGCTAATTACACGTGGAATTACCTTTATGCATCAGGTGTGAGCAGAGTATAGAATAAGATACGGAAAGGAATTGGGTTTGTGTCTAATTGACTTTTTTTTTTAATAAGAGAAACATTAAGTTATTTCTCTAAGTTGAAAGGAAAGTGAAACAAAAGTTTGTTAAAAAAAGTTGTAACGCTAAAATTCAAACCAATTTGGCTATTATAGCAACACCCTTGGCAAAAATTGCCATCAAGTCTAAATTCACAGATTTTTTAAAACAGATCCTCAGCTTAATTCAATGGTAAGCATTTCACTGCTTATTTTGCTTACATTTAATTAACATATTGAGATAATTTCTAGAAGAAAATATGTCATAGTATTTTATACATTTCCATCAGTTTAATTGATATTTTAAGAGAAGGTTCTTGCTAATTTAAAAGAGAACTCGGATATTTAAGATTTCAATACCTTACTTTGTACTTTACTTTCCCACCATATAAGGTAACATCGACAACAAAAAAAGACCAAGAGTAGAAAAAACTCAGTTTCACTTCTTACAAAGTTAGTCTAATGGAGTTTACACTAATTCTACGGTTTACTACAAGAGCGAGAAATTACCACCACCAAAATAAAAACTATGGTTCTTCAACTATGGTGTTAAATCATTTACACAACTTGAAACTTAACATTTCAACTTTTGAGGTTGCTTTTTACAAAATTTAATTCTCCTTTAAGGTATAATTTAGTAATAATATGTCAATATTTCAGCCTCTTTCAAAATTTTGTTCGTACACTAAATCCATAAAAAAATATCTGCGGTGATGCACTGCATTTTTATTTTAACAAATTTTAAATTTGTTTTTAGATTGTAATATAAATCTAATACGAGAAGTTAGCTTGAATAACTAATCCAATATTTAAACGATTAACTATTTTTCAAAGCATTTAAATATTTGTCAAGACGGTTTATACCTCTGGTTAAAACTGTGTCACCATATTAAATTACCCAAATATTTAAAGCGTATTATGGAGGTTGTCTATGCATGCTTATTTGTGCAAAGGGCTCAATGAAGAAAGTAATAAGTTTTAACACACAAAAAGCAAAAAGCCCATATCTTAACTTATTTATCAGATTAGTTAAAACTGTATTCTTTATATAATTTTACAATTGTTCAATCTACTGCATGTGTTCAAAGTTTAACTTAACTTAATAGCATACAAAAGTAATAGTATTTTTATAGCAAGAATATTTTGTAGTAATTTTTTTTAGAAGTAAATTTTTAGTTTGCTAAGATATAGGCTGAATTAGGATCGAGACAGCAAGTTAAGACAGCATATGACTAGACTGATTTTGTTACTTACATTTCTGTCTTGGTTGAACATCAAATCTTCCATAGATCAGTTATGTTTCTCTTTCATTCTTAAATATTTCGGTTTCTCACCATTTCATAGCGTGTGTACTACTTAGGTCTAACAACTTATGAGTATTTGAATTTTCAAAGTATCAATTTTCAAGGCACTGCTCATATTACGTTAAAAAGTACCTACACATTTCAATCTCAATATTATGCAGAAAACTGCTGATTATGAAATATGTCACCAAAAGAGTTCTTAGTAAAATGGTCTCATGTCAAAATTCAAGCAGAAATCAACTGCAATACAACACAACAAACTTTTTAACAGAGAATAATATTTTTATTATTAGTCTTATGGCTAACTGAAACAGTAACTTAACATGTTTCGATGCCTACTCATAGGTATGAAAATATTTCTCATTTTCAAATAAAATAACATATTTTGAAATGAATTGCAAAGGAACATAAATAACATTATATTATTTGTTTCTTACACTCTGTTGTATTTAGATATTTTAATTCTTAAACATTTTTATATTTGTCAGTTTGTTCAGGATTAAAATCCATACTCCAGAAAGGTTACTAATAAAAAAATATTAACGTAGTAAATTACACTAAAATAATAAATTATCACAATAAAACGCAAGTACGTGATCAACCAAGTACACAAAATTCACAAGTCACTTCCATCAATAGGGAATGTCAATAGGGAAACACCAAAAGAAATGATTATTTATTCCTTAAGTTGCTCTAGAAGTTATCTTTCTGCTATCTGTCTGGGAACACCTGTAAGTCGCAAAAACGTTACTTTCAAACTGTTCAACCATTTCACTTTTGAATATAGTCATCAAGAATATTAAAGGAACACAATATTACTTTGTTATACATTCCCTTAAATAAATAGAAGCCCAGAGCTTGTCAATAACAACATGCAACAACGTACTATACACCTTCTTGTTACCTTGTATATGGTTTACTATATACCTTCTTGTTAGCTTGTATATGGTTTTGCTACTTTTAAGTCTCGACTTAATATTTTGAGAAATGCTTTTGTATTTCATATAATGACAAAGTCAATTCTTGTTATACATCTAATAGGCATAATTAAACTCATAGTATATTTAATATGTTCTATTACCTAATATCATTTTGACATTGATCAAGCCAATAACCATGTTTGTTCAAAACATCAAACTTAATTCATTGTAAATAACTAATGTTGCTTCACATTTATCTTTGAACCAATTGCAGTGCTTGTAAATTAGTTAGCATTTAACTGTGGAACTTCCACAATTTTTATTTTAAAACGTTTCTAATTTAGATTTAATTTCTTGCAGTGCATACAAATATTATCTCATTGTACTATTGACTACCTTTATGTTTGCAATGTCTAGGTGCATCACACATAAGTAATAATTCACTAGTATTCATGTTATTGAAGTTTATAATACAGAAACTTAGCTTTGAAATATCTAACATGTCTATGTCATGTTCGTAGTTTCTTTGACCATTAAAAGTGATACATTCTTGTGAAAACCATCTCCAAAACGAGCACAGTCCACTAAATTTCTTGCAACTTTATACTATAAGTATACTTTAAAATAATAGAAATGATCCGTTGATTCTTACTAACTACCTAACATATGTCTGAAACATTGAAGTTAAACTAGTGAATATATAAGGCTGAGAGTATAATTCAACTATACTTTTTCACACTTAAGATATTCAGATTTCTTCCACCATCACAAACTTTACGTTCAGCTATTCCTTAAAACTATACGTATGCCATTAGACATGATAAAATGTTTATTTGATTCACTTACTATGAGCTATAAACTGGCTTTAGTATTACCATTCAAAACTTATGAGTTTTTTAAAAATATTATAGAAAATTCCAGCTTGTTTCGACAATGTCTACTTCTCCATTAGTACTCGACTAAATCAGATAATTAGAGGAAATTAACTCCACTTAGTTAATATTTTATTTAGAGAATGGACATTTTCATACAAGCTGGAACCTTGTAAAATTTTTTCAAATAAAACTATATTGTACTTACATGATCAGCACTCCAGACTGCAGAAATGTCTAATACTGAGGTTGCATATGACCTGCAAACATCACAGAATTATAAAAATCCAGAATTAAACCAACCAAAAAAAAATATTCCTCCTTTAAATATTATTGTACTCTCGCCCCAGTAGCTAAAATAATATTTTCGTCATACTGCAGCATAAACAGCTGTTTTTAATGCATTCGTGGCGGGTTTATATTAGCATTTTTACTCTCTAGGCAGTAAAAATCAGCTGTTGTAAACAGTTGTAAATTTCGACTGGCAATCGTATCGTTTGAAATTATTTTTTGATAGATTTACTATTAGATAAGGCTTATTGTTGTCGATAGATTGAAAAAACAATGGTACATATAATGTACTGTACCACAATGGTAATAGACAGACTAAATGATTGAATCACTTACTAAACAGCTGCTTATTTCCATTGGCTGAATTGAAAACAAGCTGGAAGTCGTTTTGAGAGGTTATCTTTCTATACAAATTATTTTGTTTTCTAGCTTTGTTTGTTAATTAATTATGCAATATGACGAAAAATATAGTTCACCAAATATAGTTCACCACACAGGCAAAAAGTGACTTGCTGTCCAGAAAGTATCAGACGTTGTGCATTGGCACCCCTATCTTAGCATTAGAGTTACTACACTCAATACGCATCCAGCTTCGTCTACAGTGGAGTGTTAAAATTCGCCAATGTCATTGCAATTCCCGCCAGTTGTGAGATGCGCTGTGATTAGTTTTTTTGGGTAAACTTATCAAGCCAATTGAAATTCATCATCCGACATGGCATAAGGAGTGATGCATGAAGGTGGGATGAGACAGTGGTTCGATAGATATATTCAACACCAGATTGTCAGTTACAAGACTGAGAGAGTTCTTTATAGTTGACAGGATTTGCAATGACAGCGTACATTTCAACATTGGTACTGCAGACAAAGTTAGATATATAGGATGTGCGCACTTCTGTAGCTGGATGCGTACTGGTTGTAGAAGAGTGAAAATTTAAAAACGTACGTTTTCATGTCCCTGGCCTTTTACTTCGTAGATACTGGATTTGTAGTTTATTATTATGTGTTTTAATATTTTTTGGGACGGGGGCAACATGTTACACACATTTATTTGGTTTTAAATAGGTTCTAGGTATTTTTTTCGTATTTTTAAAGTCTCAAAATTCACGACCATGACGTGTCCCTAGGGTACATTTTCCAACTTTCACGCTGTTTTTAGACTAATTATTCATGCCGAAATATATAAAGCCATATTTTTATGTCATCAATGGTTATTAAACTTACAAAAAAGGAGCATATTATAATTTTATTGTCATTGCAAACTGACTACCATGAAAAAATAAGTCTGTCCCTCGATTTGGCGTCACGACCATTTGGGAAAAATTTTCAACTTTGGAGCACGACAGTGGCAAGCCTGGCGTCGATGGAGTCAGTTTGTTTTAGAGACTAGTTCGGGGTGTACGTCAGGATTGTAGTGCCGGTCGTTTCGAGTTGAAAGGAGGAATTACAAGATAAATAAAGGAAAGATTGTGTTTTTTGTAATTTTGGTGTGTCCATGACCGTACGTAGACATTCGATGAAGTAGACATGGTGTTAATTTTTGTTTGTAAGATATTTCAATTGCTAGATTAACCTAAAAGTTCACTTTGTATCCTCGAACATGAGGTGCAGGGCTACCAACAGAACAGAGCCAAATAACACGTAATTTCACGACCAAAGTTTCACGACCATCGCGGGTTTTTTCACGACCAATCCAGCCTTATGGATTATAGTGTGTTTGGTCGTGACAATAACTTTAATATAATTGTAATTTGAACAGTTTAGTTCAATTGAAACACTTATTTTTATTATAACTAACAGTATAATTGAAGGATTGTTTAGAAAGATTTAGATTATTTCGTACCGCTTGTCCCTGACCATCACGTTTATGATTTCTATCATAAAAATTTCAAAAATTAAAATATCGTCATATTTTAATGTTTTATACACGAAAGAAGCACACCTCTATACAAACATAACGATTTTTCGGGTCTCAGGTAAGTTTTATCGGATACAAATTCTAGACCACTTCTAGATGAGCTAGAGACTTGAAATTTTCGGTGTTTTGTAGGTCTAGTGCCCAAACCCCCGGGAAAATTCCAAAAAGTGACATTTTTAAATTTTAACCCCCCCGAAATTAAGGGTTTCCCCCCCATGTTATTCTTATGGGGAATAACATTAAAAATGGCCGACTTTGGTGTGCCCATCTGAACGGTTTAGAAACGTGCTAGAGACTTCAAATTTGCGTAGTATTGTACTATGGGATCTTAAATTAACGGCGAGTTTCGCAAAAGTCCCATTTTCCAATTTTAACCCCCCCAAAAATCCAAAATGGCGGACCTCTGAAAACAACAAAACACGTTTTTTTCAAAGGGATATAGCTCGAAAACGGTAAGAGATAGAAAAGATTTGAAAGTATATCCAGGAACAGGAATTATATTTTACACAAAATCCTCATAGGCGTTTTCCAAAAATTGCACTCCTTCAGCTTCAAAAAACGCCCTACTTTCAAAATTTGGTAAATTTTTATTAAATTTTTACCGGTTTTCGCCATTTTTTCATACTTAAATATTTTTTATTTTCAAAAACTATTAGGCTATTGCTTTGTATTCTCCTTACTTTACTTTAAATTTTACTCATTATATGTTTTTTCGTAACTTTACTCCTTGACCCCCAAAACTTAATTTTAATCTCAAAATTTGAAGGTTTTTCGCCACTTTTACGTGACCCGTGTTATTCTTATGGAGAATAAGATTGAAATATAATGACTTTGGTATGGTCATATGAATCGTATAGAAATGTGCTAGAGACTTGTAATTTGGTAGTATTGTAGTAAGGGATCATAAGCTAATGGTGAAATTTTCAAAAGTCCCATTTTCAAATTTTAACCCCCCCACAAATCCAAAATGGCGGACCTCTGAAATCGATAAAACATGTTTTTTTCAAAGGGATATACTTGGTGTCTACTAAACCTGGTTTGAAAAATTCAAGGAGTTTTCCAGGAGAATTCAAGACAAATTCCTGAATTTTAAGAGCTACTATCAGAACCCGTTTAACTAATCGCAACCCGCTAATAATAATATATTATTACTATTAATGATTATTTTAATTTAAAACAAAACTTTTCCAAAGAAAATATTTTATACAACATAATAAAACAGTATAACTATTAGGTAAGGCGACACCAGCTATCATCTCCTGCGATCGTGGGAATACCGGTGAGCATATCTTGCAGTCTCGTCAACACAGGCAACCGATCGCGGCAAAACAGGTTCGCATATTTTATGATTTCAGCAACACTGATAATCGTCTCCCGCGATCGCGGCAATACCCGTGAGCATTTCCTGCGGTTTCGGCAACACCGATAATCGTCTCCCACGATCGCGGCATTACCCGTGAGCATATCCTGCGGTTTCGGCGACACCGATAATCGTCTCCCGCGATCGCGGCAATACCCGTGAGCATATCCTGCGGTTTCGGCGACACCGATAATCGTCTCCCGCGATCGCAGCAATACCCGTGAGCATATCCTGCGGTTTCATCAACACTGATAATCATCTCCCGCGATCGCGGCAATACCCGTGAGCATATCCTGCGGTTTCGGCAACACCGATAATCGTCTCCCACGATCGCGGCAATACCCGTGGCCATATCTTGCGGTTTCGGCGACACCGATAATCGTCTCCCACGATCGCGGCAATACCCGTGGCCATATCTTGTGGTTTCGGCGACACCGATAATCGTCTCCCACGATCGCGGCAATACCTGTGGCCATATCTTGCGGTTTCGGCGACACCGATAATCGTCTCCCACGATCGCGGCAATACCCGTGGTCATATCTTGCGGTTTCGGCGACACCGATAATCGTCTCCCGCGATCGCGGCAATACCCGTGAGCATATCCTGCGGTTTCGGCAACACCGATAATTGTCTCCCGCGATCGCGGCAATACCCGTGGCCATATCTTGCGGTTTCGGCAACACCGATAATCGTCTCCCACGATCGCGGCAATACCCGTGAGAATATCTTGCGGTTTCGGCAACACCGAATAATCGTCTCCTGCGATCGCGGCAATACCCGTGAGCATATCCTGCGGTTTCGGCGACACCGATAATCGTCTCCCGCGATCGCGGCAATACCCGTGAGCATATCCTGCGGTTTCGGCAGCACCGATAATCGTCTCCCACGATCGCGGCAATACCCGTGAGCATATCCTGCGGTTTCGGCAGCACCGATAATCGTCTCCCGCGATCGCGGCAATACCCGTGAGCATATCCTGCGGTTTCGGCAGCACCGATAATCGTCTCCCGCGATCGCGGCAATACCCGTGAGCATATCCTGCGGTTTCGGCAGCACCGATAATCGTCTCCCGCGATCGCGGCAATACCCGTGGCCATATCTTGCGGTTTCGGCGACACCGATAATCGTCTCTCACGATCGCGGCAATACCCGTGAGAATATCTTGCGGTTTCGGCGACACCGATAATCGTCTCCCGCGATCGCGGCAATACCCGTGGCCATATCTTGCGGTTTCGGCGACACCGATAATCGTCTCCCACGATCGCGGCAATACCCGTGGCCATATCTTGCGGTTTCGGCGACACCGATAATCGTCTCCCACGATCGCGGCAATACCCGTGAGAATATCTTGCGGTTTCGGCGACACCGATAATCGTCTCCCGCGATCGTGCCAATACCCGTGACCATATCTCGCGGTTTCGGCAACACCGATAATCGTCTCCCACGATCGCGGCAATACCCGTGAGCATATCCTGCGGTTTCGGCGACACCGATAATCGTCTCCCGCGATCGCGGCAATACCCGTGAGCATATCCTGCGGTTTCGGCGACACCGATAATCGTCTCCCGCGATCGCGGCAATACCCGTGAGGATATCTTTCCGTTTCGGCAAAACCGATAATTGTCTCCCGCGATTTCGGCAACAAAAGCGGCAGTGTTTGGTTAGCCGACGATTCCGATGACCGGGCAGTGGATTCCCGGAGGTTTGGGTGGATTCCTGGAGTTTTCCAGGACACTTCAAGGTAAGATACAATTCCCGGAGTTTTCCCGGTTTTCCCGAATTTCCCGGAGAGTAGACACCATGGATATAGCTCGAAAACATTAAGAGCTAGAAAAGATTTGAAAGTATATCCAGGAACAGAAATTAAATTTTCTACAAAACCCTCGTAGTTGTTTTCCGAAAATCGCACTCTTTCGGGTTCAAAAAACTCCCTACTTTCAAAATCTGGTAAATTTCTTTCAACTTTTTACCAGTTTTCGCTATTTTCTCATACTTTAATCATTCTTTTTAGCAAATATTATTATTGCTTTGTATTCTCCTTACTTTAGTTTAAATTTTACACGATACGTGTTTTTTCGTAACTTTACTCCTTAACCCCCAAAACTTAGGTTTAATGTCAACATTTGAAAGTTTTTACGAGCCCCATGTTATTCTTAAGGAGAAAACATTTACCCCTTAAAAACCACCATAAGTCCCCGTTCCCATGGTCCGTTCATGCCATAGATTTACTCTGGTTTACTTAAGGTTTTATCCCCCTATCGTATTTACAACCCCCCCCCCCAAATATTAAATCCCCCCAATGTTATTCTTACAGGTGCATAAGTCTAAATCACGTTTACACATTTCTAGATTAACTGGATATCTGAAATTTTGAATGATTGTAGATCTTGCGCCCTTTCCGAAAAGTGACATTTTAGGGTAGAAACACACAGAAGGCGTGGCATGGCGTGGCGTGGCGTGGCGTTTAAGAGCGTGCCGTGGCGGGGCGTCGTCAAAGCGTCCATGGTGCACACAAGAAGCGACGGAGCGTCAAGCGTCAAGGGCGATCAAAATGGCGATGTCAAAGTTATCACGGTCATTGCTCTGTGAAAATATGTATCTAAAGTGTTGGTCATTACTCGGACATGGTAGATCAGAGTGGGTTAATGAGATAAACATGGGACGCCAACGATTTGGTGAGTATCACCATTTGTTTCAAGTTTTAAGAAGGCACGAATCCCGATTTTTTGATTACATGCGAATGTCTACTTCCACATTTGATTATATTTTGTCAAGAGTGAAGCATGATTTGGAAAAACAACTTACTAACTGGAGAAAGCCAATATCTGCCGAAGAGAGACTTGTACTTACACTAAGGTAACCTATGTTTTATTTTGATTTCATAGTTTAGGAAGTAATGCACCCATGTGATTAATATTAACTAATAAGGTAAAATCAAACAAGCAATGCATGTCAAAAGTTTTACTATGGAAACATCATCAATTGTAAAATAAACATTATTCTGTGACAATTTTATAACATGGATAACTTTGTTTAATAGAGAACAATCCAAGTTAATACTTAAGTGACATTAATTGTATTTAATCGTATTGGTTGTTATGGTAAGAAAATTGTTGGTTCGGGAAGTTTGTTCCGGATGAAACGTAGTTGAATGTGGAAAGTCCTGAACATGAAGCACTAGAAGGGCGCGAAACAGTTGCCTCGTCGATTAACACTTGAGTCATTTTATTACGAACATTGAGTTTCTGTAGTGGTGACATAGACTGAAAATGTGGTAGCATACTCATAAGGAAGTGATAATCTTCAGAGTCTTCATGTTGATGTTTTTGTTCACCTTTCAAAAGAGCAACCTTTTGCTCTTCCAACAACAACATTTTTTTAGCGACAGTTTCTTGAGTAGTTTCTTTCCTTTTACGAAAACTTGATATTTTACTACCACTGGCTGCCTGGGTGGGACCTAAGTTGTCCTCAAGTGTCTGTATGTCCGTATTTTCATCATCGGCTTCTGCTGTTGGAGTATCAACTGAGTCAACATTTTCAGAGTTGGTTTCTTCATCAGGAATTTCGACGTTGTCTACATCTTCATTTTCAGGATCAGCAACACGCACTGGATTGCTTTTCAAATTGCTTTTCATTGGGGTTGGGGTTACTTCATCTTTAAGAAAATGCAACAAAGTAAAGTATGGCCAGGTAGAGACCTTTAATTCACCACCTTTGTCACCTGAAGCACATTTCATCATTTTTTTAAGTTCTTTTCTGTACTGGTCTTTGAGGCTTTTCCATCTTCCTCGAGCACATTCCTCTGAAACAAGGCAATTAATTTAATATACGGTGTTTATTTTAGGAATAGTTTTGCCAGGTGTCGTTTGGTGGTTTCTGATTCGCTGTGGGAACACCATTACCGAAACGATACGATGGGACGACAACGGTCGCGGTGGTCTAGTGGATAGCATACCGGGCCATAAATCGGAAGGTGTAGGGTTCGAATCCCACTCGAGCACTAACTTTTTGTCAAACTTTTTTCATTATCAGCAAGTTTGGTTAGTTAGGTTAGGATATAACAGTTTAATTTTATGATTAAAAAATTATTAAATTGAGTTTGAGGCATTTATAATTTTATATTATAAACAGAACTATTTTTAGTAGACTATTAGATTTTTATGTAGGTCTATATGTTATAACAGGTGTTTTTACGAATTCCATCTTAGTTATGTCATGTAGTTTTTAATTATGACTAAGATAGATGGTTGAACAGAGGTAAAAACAATCATAAATGCATTCTTGACCTATATAGCCTTTGGATTGGCCAAAAAATTATAACATGTTCTCCAAAAACAGATTCAAAGTTTGTTTTGCGACATCTGAAAATAATCAATTGTTTTATATATATATATATTTATATAAAGAAGCAGGTTGAATGTTGCTTTATGCCATGAATAGTATTATCAGCCTCATATAAACGTTTATTTTTAGGTTTTTGGCAACTGGAGCCCAATTTAAAATGTTGGCTTTTTCGTTCCGGATGGGTGCTTCTACAGTCCGAAAAATTGTAATGGAGACATGTGACGTCATTTGGAAGAAGCTAGTAAAGGACCACATGCCATTACCAACGACAGAATCATTGAACGAATCCAAAGCAGGATTTTGGGATATATGGAATTTTCCCAACTGTGTCGGGGCATTGGACGGAAAACATTGCAGGATAAAATGCCCCCCACACTCAGGATCAACATATTACAACTATAAAAGGTTCTTTTCTGTCGTATTACAAGCCGTGTCCGATCATGATTACAAGTTTATTTCAATAGACGTTGGTGGAAAAGGCAGACAAAATGATGGAGGTACCTTTTCTGCTTCTGCACTTTACGAGCGCCTTCAAAGTAACACATTTAATATGCCTTTGGATTGTAATCTACCTAACTCAAATGTCAAGGTACCGAACGTCCTTGTAGCGGATGAAGCATATCCCTTGAAAACGTATCTTATGAAACCGTATGCACGTAAAAACCTTACCCCTGCGAAAACGATGTTTAATTACAGACTGTCTCGTGCACGGCGGTCCATAGAATGTGCATTTGGCATTCTCTTCTCAAAATGGAGGATACTAGGTAAAGACATTGAAACCAGTGTCAGTAATGCTGTTAAGATCATTCAGTGCGTGTGTGTACTGCATAATGTCGTTCGGGAAAGAGATGGTGACAATGACCCAATATTCAGAGACGTATGTTTCAATGCTCGTAGGGGTGGTCGTCTTCATACACATAGAAGAAACAACAGATACACCTCAAGAGCTCAAAAAGTACGTGATAAGTTTGCTGACTATATTAAAACACAAAAAATCGTTAAAGTATGATGCAAAAGTACTCTGTTTACCCGCATCGGAAGTAGGCCTATTCAGTGTGTCTTATCAATTTTACTATTTTGGGACACTTTGTTAACTGTTGGGTAAATTACGTAATTAAATTAATTTTCTGTAAATTATAGCATAGTTTCATTTACATGGTACCTCCTTCTCTAAATAAGAATACATGGTATATTATTTAGTAAGATTTGTATTAATAGGTTTGGGTTACATTACAATAGGTTATATTTAGATAGGTAACATTAGGGTAGGTTAGGTTATGCAATGTTTGGAGCACATATTGATTTTTTTAAACCTTACCTAACGTAACCTAGCTTATTCATTGACAATATAATACAGTACTGTTAAGAAAAGGTACTGTTGGAAGCAATTACAACATTTTGGTCTCCTACAGGTAAGAATGAAATTACTTAAATAAAATATTTTAAAATGTCACTTACTTGTAGTATTAAGAGCTTTTGAAATCTGCTCCCACTCTTTGTCGATCACTCCACGGTTGTGGTGCAGCTTGTGACGGTACTGCCATATGGGTGTACGTTCATAAACCTCTGCTATTAACAGTTCGACGTCCATGATTCGAAAAGCCTGACTGCAACTGTTCAACACTGGACGATGACTGGCACTCGACTGTGACGCTACGCTACTAGACGCTCCAAAAAACAAACAAGTTTGTTTCAAGGTGAAACTCCACGCCCCGCTCCGCCACGCTAGACAAGTAGATGCTCTCAGTGTGTCGCGTTTCATTACTTAACATGAGATTGTTCGCCACGCTCCGCCACGCCACGCTCCGCCACGCCACGCCACGCCTTCTGTGTGTTTGTACCCTTACAAATATAACTCCCTCCCCCACGAAATATAGAATCCCCCCCCCCAATGTTATTCCTACAGGTCCATCGGTCTAAATCAATTTTACCCACTTCTAAAATAGCTAAGGATCTGATATTTGGCTCAATCGCCCTTTCCGAAAAGTGACATTTTACAAATATAACTCCCTCCCCCGCGAAATATAGAATCCCCCCCAATGTTATTCCTACAGGTCCATCGGTCTAAATCAATTTTACCCACTTCTAAAATAGCTAAGGATCTGATATTTGGCTCAATTGCAGGTCTTGCGCCATGGCCCATTTCTATTTACCCCCACCAAAAAAGGGGGCCTGGGGGCGGAGCCCCCAGCGAGCCAAAGGCGAGTCGGAGTTATACAAACTTAGACAGATTTTATTCGCTTTTTTTCAATTTTTTGAGTTTTTTTTTTTTTTCTAGAAAGACTAAATATACCAAAAGCTCGGTGACCTTTTTATTGTATAATGGTCATAAAAGTAAATTAGTTTATAGCAAAACATAGTTATAAAAATAATATTAACTATTTTTAATATTCATTTAAACGTCTGTTATGGTCGTGACAGGATTTTGTGTTTTTCCACTAAAGATGCTCTTTTTTTTAAAAAATACCAAAGATAATGCGTTACCATGGACATTTTATGAAACTTCAAATGTTAATGAAATAAAAATAATAATAAGTTTTGAAAAAAGGGGAAAAAATTTTGCAAAGTGCTTTTCCTGAAAACGTACGTTTTTAAATTTTCACTCAGGAACGCACTCTGATGCTAAGACGGCGGTTACAGCCCAGACCTCAAGTAGAGGAGCCGAAGTGAAATGTATGCTATTCTCAAGACAGGAAATGTATGCTATTCTCAAGACAGTCCTCTTGCCATTGGTTAGAAGGCAACTCCAAAATATGAACGGTTTTTTTTTTGTCTCAAAAACCTCTAAATTTTTAACAACAATTAAACTTATGATGAGAACTCGTATCTGGAACATTATTAATTTCTAGGTCCTTTAGAGTAGCTTGACTATGAATTTAAATTGAAACGCATATAAGCCAATGATTTTTTTTGTGTTTTCACAATAAATTAAGACAAAATGAACAAGGTTTTCCTAAGCGGCCTTTAGTTTAATAGCCTTAAACAAATAACGTTTATTTTCTGTCTAAAAAAAACAACTATTTACCATTGCAAGATTCTAGTTCTAGTCATAAAATACAAGATAATTGGACAACAAATTAATCACTAAATAAAAAAAAGAGGCTGAATCTAAGTTTACAAGCAGCAATTATAATTACACTCTGAAATAAAGCAAACAAAAAAAGCAAATTACTTTTACACTCTCACTTACCGTAAAGTTAACAAAAATCTTTTTATTTACTTATAAAGACAAAATATAGTCAGAAGTAGTCCTATAGTTTTCCTTTTTCCAGTTTGGAAAAAGGTATTGACTGAGAATTATTAAAAACTGCCCCCCTTTAAGTTTTCGAAATTGTCAACTCACCATAATCCTGACTGGGATATGCAGCTGTTGTTGTTGAATATCCCGTAGAATCTGAGGCAAATAAAAAACCTAAGTAACTTTGGGACACATGATTTGAGAAACAGAACAAAAACTCCCCACCAAATGCCTCAATCAAGTTAAAACCAAACACCTTCCCAATGAAACCCAGGTGAGTTGTTTAAGGTACAGAAAAAACTGATAGTTGTCAAATTCTCGTGAAATCAATAATTAACTTTTGAACTACATATTATAAAAAAAAAAAAAAAAACAACAACACTTTAATGAAAAAAAAGATTTAAAAACTACTATTAGTTTTCAAATAAAAAGATTACTAATTTTTTTACCAAACAAACAATTCCTGGCACGAATGGGTTTTACACAACAAAACTGAAATACCATGCGACATTGATAGCATTTGATGATTTACTAGCATGAAACAAAGGGACTTTAACTTGAAAAACAGGTTCTAATCAAACAACAATGAGAGCAAATTTTTAGTAGGCATTAACTATGAATTTTATGGGGGAATCAATTTTCTACTCCACATGCACCATCACCACAGATAGAGGGAGGGGGAGAAGAGGTTTGCTCGCAACCGCAACTTTCTAGGGTGCAGAACATGAACTGAACTCACCATAGCCAGGTTTAGAGTAGCCTGAACTTGTGGAGTACCCTGAGTTATCTGACCAAACACAAACCAATTATAATTAACCTCAATAAGTCTCTGAGTAAAACAATAAAGAACCTTTACTTACTATCACTGCTCCTTATAACAGAAATTACTCACAAATAAAAAAAAAAAAAAAATGTTAATGGCCAAACTACTGCCAACTTGGAGAAATAAACTTTCACCTATTTTGCCTAGTACAGATGAATTGAGACAAATTAGATAGGCTTAAATGATATAAATAAATACTTCTGATACTTCCCCAATGACAAAAAAAATTTACAAACTAATAAAACAATATAAAACCAACTTACCATAACCAGAAGCTGCATAGCCGGAAGAATCTATGAAAACAACATAAATAATTAGCCTCATTAAAAAAACTTAATCACTTCTAAAAAATAAAGAAAACAAATATAGGATAGGCTATAGCTACTAAAATTAAAAACAATGTTCTTGAACAAAATTTGTAAAAATCCACTTTATGAAAATAAATGTTGGTGAATGTGTATCTTACTCGATGGGAAAAGGCCAACCAACTTTGGGGGCGCAATGAACGAGTACCTATATGTTAAAAACGATCGAACCTTCGTTCACAAGTACCAAATAATAGTTTATTCTGTGTTTAGCTACATCATCTACAGGAATTATACACAACTTAAATAAATATGTTTAATGTTACTCACCGTAAGCAGCAGGCTGAGAATAACCACTCCTGTCATCATAGGAAGGTGCAGAACTGTAGCCAGTGGTACCATAGCTACTAGCGTAAGGGTCAGCAGCTGTTGTAAAAATTTTTTTAGTTAACTCAAAAAAAAAAAAAAAACTCTTGGGAAGATAATAGTTACAATTTAACCGCAGTACAGTAAATGGCTAACACTAAACTAAATTCCACGTTCATTGTACAGTGCAGGTTTTAATGGGAGATAGTTGTGCTATTAACATTACTGGCATAGCAGGAACAGTTGTGTCAAGATTTATTAATATCTTTACAAGCCTATGGCATAAGTGTTTAAAAATTGGGATTAAAATTTTTTTTTGAGGGTTCTGATGTTATTATTGGGACGGCTAGTATAGCTAAAACTGTTATTTGAAATACCTGGCTCCCCATACTGTACAGTAAATGTGGAATAAAGTAAAGAGTAACAAACACTTAAGTCATTATCCAGAGCTCTACTTGTTGGATATAGTATAGAAACATTTGATTTAAATAATCTATGGTTTATATTTTGTATTGTCTTTTCCAGCTGCTATGAAAATATGAACTTTTATAATTTTGAGACATATGATGTTTGAATGAATTGTTATGTTGTGATTACAGAAATAATTGTTTGGTAGCATTTTACTATGATTGAGTAACTTTTCTTTTGTGAATAATTAAATTATTTTCTGCTCATTATCGAGTCTATTTCTCTTTCCATTTTTGACTTTTAACATTTGGCGACCGTGACAGGACAGTATGAGTTCTTAAACAGATAGTCAACTATTGAGATAATGGAAAGAAATAGGAAACTAAGAAAAACCTTCAGAACAGCATTTACCAGAATTTATAATGGAATAAATGAGGAGCTATGCAAAGATGAGCAAGACCTACACAATATACAGGGTAAATTGAGCTCTCTAGAAGGTAAGATAAAAGAACTAAAAACTTTGGACAGGGAAATTTTAGATTTCTTGCTTGATTCTGAAGCAGATGAAGAAGAGTTAAATGAAGAAGTTAGGCTAGCAGATGAATATGTAGAGAAGTTTAATCGAATTAGTTTAGCTGTACAGAGTAGATTGATTAGGTCTAGGGCCACTTCACCTAATTCCAATGGGTCTGTAATGAGTAAATCTACTGCTGTTAGGACTAAGCTGAGGCTACCTACTATTGAATTCACAAAGTTTAGCGGGGATTTGAAGGATTCGCTACCTTTTTGGGCACAATTCAAAAGAATAGATGATGACGAGAATATTGACGATATTGATAAATATCATTATCTTGTGCAGGCTACTTTAGCTAATTCTAGGGCTCGTCAGCTGGTCGAAAGTTATCCTGCTACCGCTGAGAACTATTCAAAAGCTTTGCAAAGTCTTAAAAGTCGTTTTGGTAGAGATGACTTTCTCATAGAAGTGTATATTAGAGAGCTTTTGAAGTTAGTGCTGAGTAATTTAAACAGTAAGGTAGAAGTTTCTTTCATTTACGATAAACTGGAAACCCAACTAAGAGCATTGGAGACATTAGGAGTAACAACTGACAAATGTTCTGCTATGTTATATCCTCTTATAGAGTCTTGTTTGCCTGAGGAACTGTTGAGAGCTTGGCAGCGTCACTCCGGCTATGAAGTTGATGCTGAACTTAAGGATAGACTTGATGGTTTGATGAAGTTTCTGCAAAAAGAGGTTGCTAACGAGGAAAGGATTACTCTAGCCGCATCTGGTTTTGAAAATAGTAAGCGACCTAACCTACAGCCTAAAGTAAGTAAATCTACTGTATTTCGACCTAAGCTTAGTTACGCCAGACATACTGAAATTATGCCGACAGCTGCTGGTTTAGTTAACCCAACGTGGTCTGATAATTTAAATACTAAAGACGCTAAATGTATGTTTTGTGGTTCTAACCATTTAGCTGAAAACTGTAAAGACAGTAAATTGACAGTAGATGAGAAGGTGAAAATCGTTGGAAAAAATGGTTGTTGTTTTACTTGCTTGAACATGGTGTCTACTAAACCTGGTTTGAAAAATTCAAGGAGTTTTCCAGGAGAATTCAAGACAAATTCCTGAATTTTAAGGAGCTACTATCGGAACCCGTTTAACTAATCGCAACCAGCTAATAAATGAAAATGATTATTATTAGGCTATTATTATTATTAATAATGATTATTATTATTTGAAACAAAACATTTCCAAAGAATAATATTTTATACAACATAATAAAACAGTATAACTGGTAGGTAAGGCGACACTAGTTATCATCTCCCGCGATTGTGGGAATATCAGTGAGCATATCTTGCAGTATCTTCAACATCAGCGACAAAACGTCACACCGTCAACGATCACGGCAATACCCGTATTCATATTTTGCGGTTTGGGCGACACCGATAACCGTCTCTCGCGATCGCGGCAATTCCCGTAGGCATATCTTGCGGTTTCGGCAACACCGATAATCGCCTACCGCGATCGCGGCAATAGCCGTGAGGAAATCTCGCGGGTTCGGCGACACCGATAATCGTCTCCCGTGATCGCGGCAACACCCGTGGGCATATCTCGTGGTTTCGGCGACACCGATAATCGTCTCTCGCGATCGCGGCAATACCCGTGTTGAGCATATCTTGCGGTTTTAGCAACACCGATAATCGTTTCCCGCGATCGCGGCAACACCCGTAGGCATCTCACGCGTCTCTCGCGATTGCGGCAATACTCGTGAGCATATCTTGCGGTTTCGGCAACACCGATAATCGTCTCCCGCGATCGCGGCAATACCCGTGAGCATATCTTGCGGCTTTAGCAACACCGATAATCGTCTCCCGCGATCGCGGCAATACCCGTGCGCATATCTTGCGGTTTTAGCAACACCGATGATCGTTTCCCGCGATCGCGGCAACGCCCGTAGGCATCTCACGTGGTTTCGGCGACACCGATAATCGTCTCTCGCGATCGCGGCAATACCCGTGAGCATATCTTGCGGTTTCGGCAACACCGATAATCGTCTCCCGCGATCGCGGCAATACCCGTGAGCATATCTTGCGGCTTTAGCAACACCGATAATCGTCTCCCGCGATCGCGGCAATACCTGTGCGCATATCGCGGCAACGCCCGTAGGCATCTCACGTGGTTTCGGCGACACCGATAATCGTCTCTAGCGATCGCGGCAATACCCGTGAGCATATCTTGCGGTTTTAGCAACACCGATAATCGTTTCCCGCGTTCGCGGCAACACCCGTAGGCATCTCACGTGGTTTCGGCGACACCGATAATCGTCTCTCGCGATCGCGGCAATACCCGTGAGCATATCTTGCGGTTTCGGCAACACCGATAATCGTCTCCCGCGATCGCGGCAATACCCGTGAGCATATCTTGCGGTTTTAGCAACACCGATAATCGTTTCCCGCGATCGCGGCAACACCCGTAGGCATCTCACGTGGTTTCGGCGACACCGATAATCGTCTCCCGCGATCGCGGAAATACCCGTGAGCATATCTTGCGGGTTTAGCAAAACCGATAATCGTTTCCCGCGATCGCGGCAACACCCGTAGGCATCTCACGTGGTTTCGGCGACACCGATAATCGTCTCTCGCGATCGCGGCAATACCCGTAGGCATCTCACGTGGTTTCGGCGACACCGATAATCGTCTCTCGCGATCGCGGCAATACCCGTAGGCATCTCACGTGGTTTCGGCGACACCGATAATCGTCTCTGGCGATTGCGGCAATACCCGTGAGCATATCTTGCGGTTTTAGCAACACCGATAATCGTTTCCCGCGATCGCGGCAACACCCGTAGGCATCTCACGTGGTTTCGGCGACACCGATAATCGTCTCCCGCAATCGCGGCAATACCCGTGAGCATATCTTGCGGTTTTAGCAACATCGACAATCGTGTTCCGCGATCGCGGCAACACCCGTAGGCATATCTCGTGGTTTCAGCGACACCGATAATCGTCACTCGCGATCGCGGCAATACCCGTGAGCATATCTTGCGGTTTCGGCAACACCGATAATCGTTTCCCGCGATCGTGGCAACAAAAGCGGTAGTGTTTCGGTTAGGCGACGATTCCGATGACTGGGCTCCGGATTCCCGGAGGTTTGGGTGGATTCCTGGAGTATTCCAGGACATTTCAAGGTAAGATCAAATTCCCGGAGGTTTCCCGGTTTTCCCGAATTTCCCGGAGAGTAGACACCATGTTGAAGTATGGTCATAAGAGTGCGCAATGTAAAGTTAGAGTAAAATGTCCCAATTGTGGAAGGAGACACACCGCTGTTATGTGTAGGGCATCTGCTGCAGAAAGAAGTTCATTGAGTGAACAACCAGTCAAAGAAAGTTCTCTAGCAAACAATGTTCACACAGAAGTGTTTTTACAAACCTTTTTAGTAAAAATTAGAAACCAAAATCGAGAGCGAACAGCACGTGCTTTAATAGATACTGGATCACAACGGTCTTATATTTTGAAAAATACAGCAAAGGAATTTGGATACGACATAGTCAGAAAGGAGAAGCTAGCTCATGCTTTATTTGGTGGCACTAGTACTGAAACAATTGAACATGCGTGTTATAAGATTAGACTAAGTGACTTAAATAATAGTTATGCCTGCAATTTTGACGTTCTTGATCAAGATATAATTTGTAACGATGTTACAACAGTTAAGCCTGGTCCTGGGTCCATTGAGCTTGGAACACTGGGAATTAATGTAACAGATGGAGACGGGCCTATTGAAGTTCTGATGGGTGCAGACGTTGCCGGGAAACTTTACACTGAGAAACGATATCTGCTTTCCAACGGGTTAGTTGCGATGCACACTTTGTTGGGCTGGACTTTAATGGGAAGAACTACTGTTGAAGGGAATGACAGGTCCAGTTCTATGGCAGTAACTTCTTTACTGTCCCCTATTGATAATAAATCCATTTCAGATTTGTGGAGTTTGGATGTTTTAGGGATCAAGGATCCAGTGGAGGTAAAGAGTGAATCTTCAGTTAAAAGTAGAACAATGGAACATTTTGTAGAATCTGTTTCAGTGGAAAATGATGGCAGATATCAGGTCAAATTGCCATGGGTTGAAGATCACCCGCCGTTACCCACTAATTTAAAAGTAGCACAGAAGAGACTCAGTAATCTTACAAATAAACTTAATTCTAGTGGATATCTTAGTTCATATCAACAGGTGTTGTCTGACTGGGAGGAATTAGGTATCATAGAAAAGGTTAACGATGCCGATTTGGAAATTGGTCACTACCTACCGCATCGACATGTGATAAAAGAAAACAGTCTTACCACGAAATTGAGACCTGTATTTGATGCATCTGCTAAAGAAAAGAATCAACCCTCGTTGAACGATTGTCTAGAAAAAGGTGACAACCTAATTGAATTGATTCCGTCCATATTAAATCGTTTTAGACTACACAGATATGGAGTTGTTGCTGACATCGAGAAGGCTTTTCTTCAGATTGGTGTACATATGGATGATAGAGATTTTCTTCGTTTTTTGTGGATTAATGAAGATGGTCAATTGGTTGTTTACAGACACGCTAGAGTGGTCTTTGGAGTTACCTGTAGCCCATTTATGCTAAGTGCAGTAATAAAACTTCATTTAGAAAAAACATTAGACTTGATAGATTCTGGATCGTTAAACTACTCAAGAAAAGTAGTAGAGACACTGTCGAGAAGTTTCTATGTAGATAACTGTATGGCAAGTTTTGATGACTTTTCAGATTTGAATCAATTTGTAGATCAAGCGACTTCTGTAATGAAAGATGCTAGATTCTGTCTTCGGAGTTGGGAGTACACAGAAATTCAGAGTTTCAAAAATGATTCTACCTTGACACCTATCTTAGGTTTAAATTGGAACAAAAATACTGACATGATTGAGTTGAATTTTGAAAACTTTGAGTTTAAAGAGCCTGAAATAGTCACAAAGAGATCTATTTTGTCTTTTGCTCACAAGTTGTTTGACCCCATAGGTATAACTTGTCCTGCCACACTCTTACCTAAGATATTGCTGCAGAAAACGTGGGAAAGTAAAATTGGATGGGATGACAAAGTTTCAGAAGAGATAAAAATTTAGTTTTTAGATTGGACAAAGCAACTTGAGATTTTTTCAAATTTGGAAATTCCAAGATATTTTGGAAATGAAATCGGAGGGAATATTTCTTGGACAGTTCACTGTTTTTGTGATGCAAGCCAGGACGCTTATGCGGCTGCAGTTTTCCTGAGGGGTGAATCTAATGGACTTGTCACAGTTCAATTAGTTCAAGCAAAGAGTATAGTTGCACCTGTCAAGAAGATGACTATTCCTCGACTGGAGTTATTGGCGGCTACTATTGGCGCTCGTCTAACTGACAACGTCTTAAAGAGTATGGGATTTGAAAATGTCAAAACATTTTATTGGACCGACTCAACCACCGTTTTGTCATGGATTCGTCGAGAAGATTACTGGGGAGTGTTTGTTTGGAACCGAGTAAAGGAAATAAGATCCCTTAGTAGCATCGAATCATGGAATCATGTTCCAGGCCATATGAATCCAGCTGATTTGCCGTCACGTGGATGTTCTCCTAAACAGCTAGTAGAGTCGAAATGGTGGGAGGGACCACAATGGCTAAGAAACTCATCAAACTTGTGGCCTAACCAAAACTTCAGTGATGATTGTGATGAGAAAGAAGTAAATTCTGAACTTAGGAAGATTAAATCAACTACAAAGATTATGATGAATTCAAAACCTGAACCAGATTGTTGGTATTACAGATATTTCTCCAGATTTGATAAAATCGTCAGATTGGTAGGCTGGATTTTGAGATTTTGTTCTAACACAAATATGTCTAATCAAAAGATCAGGAGAATTGTCGGTTGATGAATTGTTTAAGGCTCAAAATAAAGTGTTTAAACTTATTCAGAAAGACGCTTTCCATAGTATCAAGGATGAAAAATTGAGCTCATTGTGTCCGTTTGAAGACAGTGATGGCTTATTCAGGTTAAAAACGAAAATCACAGAGAGACCTGATAGTAGAAATTTTAATCTTCCCATAGTATTGCCGGGTAAACATCCTGTTGTTCACAGATACATACAATACAAACATGAAGAAAATTCACATGTTGGAGTCCAAGGATTGTTATCTATTCTCAGAGAAGAAGTTTGGATTATTAGTGGGAGAAGAACTGTAAAATCAGTTATTGACAAATGTGTCAAATGCAAGCGATATTGTGTTAAAAGTTTGGATACTGATCCAGTACCACTTCCTTCGCAACGGGTTCGAGATGCTTCTGTTTTTGAAGTCTGTGGAGTTGACTTAGCTGGACCTGTTTTCCTTCGAGATGGACAAAAAGCTTGGATTACATTATATACATGTGCAGTATACCGTGCCGTGCATTTGGAGTTAGTTACTTCATTATCGACTGAGTCATTCTTGCAAAGTTTGAGAAGATTCATTTCCAGACGGGGTCGACCAACAGTCTTGTTTGCAGACAACGGCACTAACTTCCGAGGAGCTTACAGTGCGTTGAAGCAAATCGATTGGAATAAGATTGTTGAGTACAGCACAATCAAACGTATAAAATGGAAATTCAACCCACCTGCCTCACCATGGTGGGGAGGCTGGTGGGAAAGACTCATAAGACTATTGAAACAGCTTCTTCGCAGAGTCTTAGGAAGAGCTAGTTTGACTTATGAAGAATTTTTGACCGTTTTGTGCAGTTGTGAATCTGTCATAAATAGTAGACCCTTGACTTACATTTCAGAAGACAGCCATGACATGGAAGTTTTGACGCCAGCTATGTTTTTGAATGGTACGAAGGAGTATGGAGTTATTGATTTGGACCAGATCAACTACACAAATTTGTCTCGACGTTGGAACTTTAAATTAAAATTAAAAGAAGATCTTGAAAAAAGATTTAGAAGCGAATATTTAAGTCAATTGGTGATGCATTCGAAGAAGAAGAAATCTCGTCAAGTGCAAGTTGGAGAAATTGTTTTACTTGGAAGCGACAATACCAAACGGATGGACTGGCCTTTGGCGAAGATTGAGAAGATACTTCCTGGAAAAGATGGCAACATACGTCTTGTGGAAATGAAAACATCAAAAGGAACAGTGCTGAGACCCATACAACATGTGTTTCCACTTGAATTGGTCCAGCAGAAAGACAATCAAGATGGTAATGAAACATTCGAAATGGAAGATGAACAAGTAGCTGAAGGTGTTGGTCGTGAACATGATCAACCTGTTTACACACAAAGAGGAAGAAAAATTATACCCCCACGAAGATACCTGAAGCGATAATAAATATTTTGACTTTACAAGTCAAAAGGTGGGAGAATGTTGGATATAGTATAGAAACATTTGATTTAAATAATCTATGGTTTATATTTTGTATTGTCTTTTCCAGCTGCTATGAAAATATGAACTTTTATAATTTTGAGACATATGATGTTTGAATGAATTGTTATGTTGTGATTACAGAAATAATTGTTTGGTAGCATTTTACTATGATTGAGTAACTTTTCTTTTGTGAATAATTAAATTATTTTCTGCTCATTACCGAGTCTATTTCTCTTTCCATTTTTGACTTTTAACACTACTATTTGACTCAAAAATACAAGACTGATCAGTTTTGATATAATAGGGAACTTTTTCTTTCATCATCCGAAATTGTCGAAGCGAGCTGAGTGGTATCATCATTACAGTCCTGCAGATTTTACTTTAATTTATACTACACAAAAAAAGGAGAAATTAAATTTTTGATTGTAGCACTTTTGGCGAGCAGCTCTTTAACTCATATTTTATTAGCTTGGTCTACTTACGTTTGCTGTAGCTGGAGTACGGGTCAGCAGCAGGTGGAGGGGCTGTACTGTAGCCTCCACCACTGGTGTTCTGATCATAGGAAGCAGTGTCATACCCTTGCTGTGAGTAGCCTCCGTAGCCTCCACCTTGAGAGTAGCTCTGAGACCCACCTCCGCCGTAGCCCTGAGACCCACCACCACCGTAGCTCTGGTACGACCTGAGGACATCAGATAATGTACAATGTCTCGCGCTAACAATCATCATGAGTATTAACAATCCTTAAAGATTAATTTCACAGTATTCTGTGAACATCTGAACCCAAAAACTTCAGAACTTGACAGAATATTTGGAGAGGATTTTGTTTTACTATTTGAAAAGAAATTTAAATTAATTGAATCTGTTCGGTTTCTAAATTTTAATATAATCAAATCACTTGAGGTTAAGAACATTGTATTGAACTTAAAGAACCCTAAGTTTCAAACATTTTAGAGAGAGAAATGTTTGTGGCGCAAGAAACACAAAACTTTACCATGCACACGTTAAATTGGAATATTTCACAGACACTAACAGTATTTTCAACCAAGGATAGATTTGGCGAAGAGTAAGAAACTCCCTTAGTTAGAAATGCTGTGGCAAGAACAAAATATTACAATGTTGTGTTTAGGGCTTCTTGTGCCATAATGGTCTCTTTCCCATTTCAAGTAAGCTTAACAGCAAAGAATGAAAATCTGTTAAACCTGTATGAAGTTATTTAAAATATTTTATAACAATTGAATTTATAGATAAAAAGTGTTGTTCAATATTTTTGCGGCATTCAATTTGACATTTATTCCCATCCTTAAGGATACCTTTGTACCCCACTTCTTTAGTACAAAAGAACATGGGTAAAGCTCATGAAGACCAGAGAAAAGACTGTTCAGGCAAGTATAGGGAACAATTTTTCATCATCCAAAGATGTCGAAGCGAGCTGAGTGGTGTCATCATAACAGTCTTTAGGTCTGTAGGTTAAATAGCGACTAAATAAATGTAGAAAAAAAAAAATTACGTACCCATAAGACGATGAGGGAGGAGCAGAATATGTATCCACTGGGGCAGGTTCATAGGGTGGGTATTGTTGTCTGAAAAAGCACAATATAATATTAATTATCAATCAATATTGATTGTCACAAATAAAAAAAATCTTTTTACACATCAGTTGAGGTAAACTTCGTCATACGAACATAAGAACTTCTGACGGCACTTCCAATCTCATCACTTGTGTTTCTTTGAGAAAGAGCTAACAGATTTTGTCAAAAGAGTTTTGTTAAGAAAATACAACTACAATATTCTGTAATTTATTTTGAAACAAAGTTGTTTTTTTTTGTTTTTTTTTTATTTCACAATGTTAAAGTCTTCAGTATTTCAAAGTTACCACAACAGTTAGAAACGGATTGATAAAGCATGTGAAAATTGTTAGCGTACAAACACAATCAGTCAAGGATTCATCGTCATTCTGCCAAAAATTAACATTCTGACGGCACTTCCAGTCTCATCATTTGTGTTGTAAACATTTCATGATATAGGCCTATTATTATGTGATGATGTAGACTTCAAAACAGACCCTCATTAAACCAACGACTTTACAATAGATTTACATTTTAAAATACAAATGAAAAATATACAGTATAAAATTTGTATTGTGTTCCCACCAATATGAAAACCTATAGTTCGGCCGCTTAGAAAACGACCTGCGCGCTAATGCTAAACCAATGCTGGAGGAGGTCGCTTTCTAAGCGGCCGAACTATAGTAAGGGAGTATAATGATTTGATAAAATTACTTCACTTTTGAAAATTAAAGGAAAAAGGTATTCTTTAACAGACATCTAATAGCCTTTCAAATTATTGATTTTAAAACTAGCCAAATGTTTGCTTGCTTCTGATATAAACCATTAAATCTGACAAAATACCTTATAGGGCTAGATTGTTTTTAATACTTTCAAAAGAGAAACTAATTTGTGCCAAGAGTAAAAAAGTTGGACTATTCAGAATAAATTATGGGAACAAGATTTCGTCATCCTCAAAAGTCGAAGAGAGCTGAGTAGTTTCATCATAACAGTCCATTAATAGAAATTTCATTGAAAGCATCAATATCAGCTTTGTTGAATAAATAAAATTATTCTCTTTTAACCCAATATTTGCATTTTTAGTCTACTTCAGCACACAGTACCTTAATAATTTTAAGTTCACTTATATGTAGCTGAACAGTCGAGTGCTAGTAACAATACATGCCACAGCACCAATTTATCCAGCATTTACTATCCACAGAATTGAACGCCTAGAACTACCAAAAACTAGTTCAGGAGCTGGTCTGTGGGAAACAATGTCTTTACGCCACTAAATTTTTTTTTTTATGAAATATTTTAAAATACCAAGAGGAGCAAACAGGTTTATTACAGTTTTATAAAATGTCAAGTAGGCTACATTATGGCAGTCTACAGGACTGTCAAAGTTTATTTTTGAGTAATTTCAAGAGCAATTTTACACATAAACCTTAAAACCTCTCCGGTTAACTCAGACGGGGCAGGGATTGTCAGCAACAATTGTTATTGGGTTCCTCAGAAGAGGGAGCCTGCATCACATCATAGTTACGAAGAGGTTCAATCGTTTTGAAACTGATCAATCTGCAGATTGATAAACCAGCAAAGTTTGCTACTGCTACAAAATGTTTCAGGCGATTTGAGTTTGTAGTGTGTTACATCTTTGATCAATTTTGTAGACGAAGGTATGAATTCCATCTTTATTCACCACGACAATTATAATTTTCTTTACTGAGCCAATTTACACTCAGGTAGGCAAAACATTAGTTGTGGAAGGTAAAGTTTGACATACACATACCAATTGTATCCCTCTTACATTAAATCATCATGTTACTTTTTAACAGCTAAACAACTAAGAAAATGGGATGTCTACTCACACAGGTGGGGGTTGTTGGTGGTATCCATTGGACGGGGGTCCGCTGTCGTACCTGCCTCGCTTGGCAGCCATGGGTGGTCCGCCAGACGGAGCTCCTCGCTTCATTCCCCCACTAGGAGGCCCCGCAGGGGGACCACTGGGGGGTCCTCTCTGGTAGCCGCCACCTCTGCCTCCTCTACCCATGGGACCTCCGCGATCCATACCTCGTCCTCCTCCCCTACCTGGGAATCCACCTACAAACATTTCAGATCAAATTAATATGAATGCATTTTTAAAAGAAAACTAGTAGGCTTGTAGGCCTATGTTCTACCAATCTAATGTGATAAGTGAATTGACCTTGCAAAACAATAAATGGACTAGATGAAATATGAATGTAATGGATGTAGGCTAACTAATTCAAGTTAAATACATTTGTTATTTTCCTGTACCTCTTTGCTGCACAGCAGTTTAAAAAATAACAAAACAGTTATACTGTTTACGTATTGTCAATAAGGCACAGTGAAATTAAAAACAATTATAACCTCAGGAGACTCCTTTAAAATATGACTAGGTTAATCACAGAACAATTTAAAAAATACTAGATTGGGCCTACTATTTTACTAGCTGTTCAGACTGCCAAGGGAACAAAGTATTTTCTTTCAGCACAATTTCTCAGTAATTAGTAATAAATACCAAGTCATCATTACAGCCAGATACTCTCACTAGAATATGCTGTAACTACAACCATAATGGATATAAATTATTTTCTTTCAAGAAAACCTTTGCATTCAGAGTTTCACAGTCCTAACTTATTTAACTTTTAATGATTTAAATTGAATGGTTGTATAGAATCAATAAGGCTATGCACGGAAGAAGTATAACACCGGAGGCTCTTAAAGATACATGACTAGGCCTACGTCAACTACACAACCATTTGAAAAGCAGGGTGTCTAGTTTATTTCCATAATAAAATTCAAGACTAATTCCAGACTTTTCAAGACTAATTCCAGATTTTTCAAGACTAGTTTTTTCAACAATTAGTGGGTGTTGATACTAAAATGTATCGATTCTCGATTCTTGATACCGATACCAATTTTTATAGCTTAACCAAATTTTCTGAATAATACTACACCAACCCCTGTCTTTGTCATAAAGTAGTACCTTATTATAATAATGTGTTTTCAAGTAAAGAAATAATGCAGCAATAAAAAGTTCTAACTAGCAAATTTGGTTTTTTTATCATGAAATCTTCCACGTACCGTACGTTTAGACATCATCATTGACTGCGGCGGTTACAGAAACGTGATCGTCGTCGTCTGCGATCACAGCAAAATCATGAACATTTCCCGCAGCCTTGTAGACATCAATGACATCATCGTCGTCTCCCGAGGTATCAGAAACGTCATCGTCATCGTCCGCGATCGTGGCAAAATCATGAACATTTCCCGCGGCCGTGTAGACATCATCGTCGTCTCCCACGGTCACAGAAACGTCATCGTCGTCTCCCGCGGTCACGGAGACGTCATCGTCATCTCCCGCGGTCATGGAAACGTCATCGTCATCTCCCGCGGTCACGGAAACGTCATCGTCGTCGTCCGCGATCGCGGCAAAATCATGAACATTTCCAGCGGCTGATTAGACATCACCGTCATCTCCCGCGGTCACGGAAACGTCAACGTCGTTGTCCGCGATCACGGCAAAATCATGAACATTTCCCGCGGCTGATTAGACATCACCGTCATCTCCCGCGGTCACGGAAACGTCATCGTCGTCGTCCGCGATCGCGGCAAAACATGAACATTTCCCGCGGCTGATTAGACATCACCGTCATCTCCCGCGGTCACGGAAACGTTATCGTCGTCGTCCGTGATCACGGCAAAATCATGAACCTTTCCCGCGGCCATGTAGGCATCATTGTCTCTCCCGCGGTCACGGGAGCGTCATCGTCGTCTCCCGCGGTCACGGAAACGTCATCGTAATCTCCCGCTGTCACAGAAACGTCGTCGTCCGCGATCGCGGCAAAATCATGAACATTTCCCGCGGCTGTTTAGACATCACCGTCATCTCCCGCGGTCACAGAAACGTTATCGTCGTCGTCCACTATCGCGGCAAAATTGTGAACATTTCCCGAGGCCGTGTAGACATCATCATTGGCTTTTGCGGTTACGTAAACGCAAGACGACAATCGCGGCAAAATCATGAAAATTCCCGACTTTGAAATCAAATTTAAGACTAAATCCCGACTTTTCAAGACTATTTTGAAATTCAATACTAATTCCCGACTTTCCCGATTTTCCCGACTACAAGACACCCTGGAAAAGCCAGTTTAAAGGACCAACTACAATTTCATCAGCTGTTCAGACTGCCAAGGGAACAAAGTATTTTGATTCAGCATTATTTGTCAGTTATGAGTAATGAATACCAAGTCATCATGACAGCTGAGAAACATAAATTGTTGAAAAATCAGTGGAATACAGAATTCTGTTCTGACTACAATAATTTAGGAAATTTGTAATTTAACATCAAAGCTTAATACAGTGGAACCTTGATAATAAGACCCTCGATAACACGTCACCCTTGGTAACAAGTGGCAATTTTAAATCCACTGGTATTAATTTTACCACTAATCACATGTTATTGCAAACCTTGATGAAACCTTAAATTGTTCAGTCTACTCAGTCTGGGCAGGGTTAGTCAGCAAATGTTTTGTAACGGGTTCCTCAGAAGAGGGAGCCTGCATCACATCATTGTAGACTTAGGGGTTTACATTATTGGTAAAAACATGTTGGTACTGTAGTTTAACAATGGCATTCTTATCAAGATGTGAAATAATGATAAAACTTTAAAAAATTTTCTTTAGATAATACATAGCCAAACATAATGTGTAGGCCTACTTTCTCAATTTGAGTTTTGTTTGGATTACATTTTACCTCTTATTATGTAGCCTACACAAAATCGGTGTAAAACTCAACAAATCAGGAAATCTACAGGGTTGGCACTAAATTTGGAAAACAAAATTCCCTGACTTTTCCAGACTGATACTTTACTTTTCCCAGGTATACCGCAAGTCGATATCGACTAATCAAATCAAGAAATATTAGAAGAAATGTAAATAGTTAACTTATTTATTCACTCCCAAATACAAAACTTGTTTTAAACTATGTACCTATTGATTCCTCCCCCGCACCAATAAATAACTATCGATATAAAAAAATGTGCATCGGTACTTATGACGTTCTTTTTGCCATTAGTCATCACCCGATAAAAACATGTTTAGGTGTAGAATGTACCATATCTGTAAAAAAGTAGTCTTTCAGGAGAAATTCAATAATATTTTCACAATTCCCTGACTTTTCCAGGTTTTCCCTGACCATACAAACCCTGATCTATGTAGGCACTACTCATGATCAAACACAATGAACCTACTTGAATATATCTCAGTGAATGAACAAGAAACGTGCATAGTCTGCATGTTTAATGCAACAGAGTTGTTATGTGCAAATGTTACTTTTTTGCATGAAAAATTAATAACTTACAAAAATTTTAACAAATCTGGTTATTCAGTAGGATTATGTTAGTTTCACATGAAATCAAACTGACTTATCATTACGAACATCATTATAACCAGAAAATTATGGGTACCATTTCTAACAATTAATTATTACCTCACAGCTCATTGCTGTAACTTGAACAATTTAAACTTACATGAAGTAGAGTTATCCTTATATCAATGTTAGAAAGTAAGTTATTCCAGTTATAATTTTGAGTGACTTCAGAAAATTGTTGGTCTAGGTTAACTTGACTAAAACTAAGATCTCTTTAAAAATTAGCATTTCAATTTGTGAAATTACTGCTGGATGTCTAATTTTATGTAAGGAAACGTTACCTCTGCCAAAGTTGCCTCTACCCCCCTCTCCACCTCCTCGTGGAGGCATGTTGTTGAAGTCTCCTCTGCCTCTCATTGGACCACCACGACCTCGGAAGAACCCATTTGGCCTGCAATTCAACACAATTACTGACACAGTTTAGAGATATAAAGGGGAAGGAAATATAATTTAGACACTAAATCACTCAGCAAGAGGCTAATTTAACATTCTTTTTTTCATGTCTATAGCTGGTTTACATGGATATAATGTTTACACAACACTACTGCCAATACTTGCCTTGTTGGACCGCCCCCGCCAAAGCTGCCTCTATCACCCATCCCTCCGCCACGGGGAGGTCCACCTCCACCTCTGGGAGGTCCACCACCTCTAGGAGGCATGCCTCGTCCTCCTCTAGGGGGACCCCCTCTCATCATGCCCCCTCCTCTTGGTCCACCTCTGCAAACATAGGTCACATTTAAATTTAATGTAACCAAAATTTTTAGTACAAATTTAACTTCAAAACGTGCCCTCACAGTTTTCCTCTGAGCGCTCATATTTTATGATTTCATTGCTTAGAATAAAACCTTTACCAGTCATCTCGTGTTTTAAAATTAATTCACTCTTCAAACGTTAAGAATCAACTGTTTCCCTCGACAAGGTACAAATCAGGCCACTAGGTCTGTTTGTGTTTTAAAGGGATTTGCTATACTCCCTCTTCTAATTCGGAAACAAATGATTGCATCCAAAGAGCGAGAAGGAGTTTTATTATTGAGAACAATGGTCTCAAGCTTAAATATAAATAAAACCTTTAAGAACAAACAAAATTTGAAAACGCCCGTATGATGTAGTTCTGTACATTTGTTAATTTTTTAAGTTATAAATATATTGGTACATCTCTGTAGGAATTGAAGATCAAGTTAAATGGTGAACAAGCTTATATTTTGATTTAAAATACTGAGGTAATATTCAAGTTTAAGATTGTTTCCCTCGACAAGGTACAAATCAGGCCATTAGGACAGTTTGTGTTTTAAAGGGATTTGCTATACTCCCACTTCTAATTCAAAAACAAATAATTGTAATCAAAGAGCGAGAAGGAGTTATTAGATATTAGTTTAGTTATAACGATAATAGAAATAAAACCTCATAGGTGGAAAAATAGAAAATACCTTTAACAATGTAAATCTGTACTTTTATGGATTAGTTCGTTGAAACTAGCTAAAACAAACGCCTCTTGGTTAACAGAACAAATGACGATTCCCCCATATTTGAGTTAAATGATGTTCAATTAACATATGATTATATAACGTCTTTCTAAAGTACAAATGAAGTTTACGATTGTTTCCCTCGACAAGGTACAAATCAGGTCAGTAGGCCAGTTTGTGTTTTTAAGGGATTTTTTGTACTCCCTCTTCTAATTCAGAGACAAATTATTGTAACCAAAGAGCGAGAAGGAGTTTTATGATTATATTATTAGTAATAATTAACAGTTAAATAGGCCTACGACTTTTTTTAATCTCAAAAGGTATTTTAAAATAATTGTTAGGGATGGTCAAGTTTCGAAATTTCAGGAAATTTTCGGGAAATTTTCAATCTCGTTACACGAGACGAGATTACTTTTTGGCCGAGATTTTTATCGAGACGAGAACAAAAAAAAAAAATTTAAAACGCCTGCAAAAAGTCAATGCAATACCCGCAATACAGGAGCGTGTTGTAGTTGCGTTTCCTTTCCGAAGGCGTTCTTATTTAATTAATTCTTTTAATGTAAATATTACTTTAATTCTTTTAATGTAAATATTACTTTAATTCTTTTAATGTTAATATTACTTTCATTATTTTAATAATATTACTTTAATAACATTTGAGAAGTTTTGTTAAGTGTAAGCAGTGTGAGGAATGTTTTATTACTATAAAAAAAGTCAAAACAAGTAACTATTTTATAAAAATTAATATTGCTTTTATTTTATGATTTATTTTATTTTAGGATAAGTTGAACTCTATCCTAACTGATATCACCATGTTTCCTAATCGTAGGCATTTTTAATAAGTTAGGCGTGATTAATAAAAAAATGTTATGCTGATGTTATTTAATGAAAGATTGTAAATATTCTTGCCTATTATTATTATTTTAGTATTTAAACAGTCATCTAACAATGTTACAAAATCAGGTAAAAATTTCGAACGTGCATTTCCCGTTGTGTATGAGAAGAGAAATCTCGTCTCGAAATTTTATAAGAAATAAAAAATCTCGTCTCGTCTTGTCTCGAACTAAAAATCCAATCTCGTCCATCCCTAATAATTGTTTTATAAAAAAAAACAAATGAAACAGGCATATTCATACATTGATTGGTTGGGTTATAAATATAGCTCAACAGTCGAGTGCTAGTTACAATAAATGCCACAGCACCAATTTATTCAGCATTGCTATCCACAGAATTGAACGCCTGAATTACCACAAAGTAATTCAGGAGCTGGTCTGTGGGAGAGAGTAAGAAATAAAATAAGAATATGTCCATACAATAGTTAATAAGAATTAGAATAATAACTAGAGACATATACCCAAGGTAGCTAGTTAAATTTTAAAACATTCTTAAAAGTTAATTTTTTTTGTGGATTTGGAAAAACGTAGTACAAAACATAACAAACCTGATGTGATCTTTTTAACAAATTACATGTAGCTGCAGAGTCGTGTAAATCAGCATAAAATGCTAAGTCACCTTCTCATACAGCATTGCTATCCACAGAATTGAACGCCAGAACTGTTAAAATACAATTCAGGAGCTGGTCTGTGGGCGTCTTAAATGTTAGGTATAGAGTTAAGTTAATACAGCCTACCTAACTGTAGGGAAAAATATTGATAAGCCTAACTTTACTTAGATTTTAACTACTTAGTGGTTTAAATTACCTTGTTACTGTCAAAAAACTATCCTTTGTAGTAAGTGAGACTACACCTTAAATTTGCTTTAATGTTTTAATAATTGAAAATAGAATACTACAAAAGACCAAACAAAGAAGTATTTGATACTAAAATGAACACATATGATGGACAACCAATTTAACTAGTGTGATGATTAATTAAACTTTCATATGGGTAATGGTAGCTTATTTGAACAAACAAATGTAAAAATGTCATAGTTGCAGCATAAAAATATATGTATGTCAGTATGTCACTCCCGACAAGGTGCAGGAAACTTAACAAAGAGTCCTGGGTTTTAAGGAGCGTTTACTTTAGTCCATCTTCAATTCAGAAACAAAATAACAAAATATCATAACCGAAGAGCGAGATGGACAGTCAAGCACTATAACCGAGCATCTATGTTACTGACCTGCCACGCATGTCACCTCCTCCCATGAAGCCTCCCCTTCCTCCTCTTGGTGGTCCGCCGCGTCCCATCGGCCCACCACGGCCAGGAGGACCTCCTCTACCACGAAAACCACCTCCACGAGGTGGTCCGTCCATTTTGTTTTGTGGTTAAACTGTCTGCTCTCAACTATTAACAAAACATAGCAAAACTTCAGACACTTAATTTTTAAATAAAACCTGCCAATGCTGTTGGTTTTTTTAAGCAGTTCCTTTCATTTACATTTGCTACAGAGCTTATCAGAATTATCACAGTCGATCACAGACAATCAGTTGTCCCTATCTACTAAAATAGTGATTTGTCATCACATAAGCTCTCACATTAAATAGAAGTTGAAAATTATTTATGGACGTTATTAAACAGGGCCTCAATAAAACATAATTATATTTGCATATCTTAGATGGAATAAAGGCAGAATCGCAGCAGCAACACAGGAAGCCTCAAGTTAACAGAGCAGGGACACCTCAGTGATATTCCCTCCAATTTTTTACTGAGTTAAGTTAGCCTCTACTAATCACGAAAAGTTTGAGTGATCAAGCACCAAATCAGAAAATCAAGTCAGCATTTACCTACCTAAGCTGTGATTGCATAGTTTGTTTTACTGAAAATGTTATCTCCCCTTATTAAACAGTGGAACCTCAATAACGGGCCTTGATAACAAGTGACATCAATTTTCAAACAGGCCTACCCTTGACTATTATATTACCTACAAAAAAAAAGTTATATTGCAAACCTCTACGTCAACCTCAACTAAAAGTCCCATTTGGTAATCCCTACAAGTCACTTGTTATCAAGAGTTTAAAAATTGAAAACTTTAAAAACTTGATAAACATTAATTTGAATACATGCCCTGTAAAAAAAATTCTCATTCAAACATACTACATCAAAATTTGAATCATCCAAAAATAAGTGTAGGGCCTACATCATACAGCTTTTTATGAGACCAGCCTGAACATTTAAGTGCATGATAAATAAAATGCATTTTTTATACAAATCAAAATGACACCCGGTCAGTTTGTGAGTGTGGTAAAATTCTGATCATTTCCCGCGGCCGTGTAAGTTATAACACTCTTCCGTGGTCGCGGCAATATTCTGATCATTAATGGTGGCTGTGTGGAAATCATTAACGTCTCCCGTGACATCATCATTGCCTGTTGTGGTCATGGCAAAATCCTCGTGACATTGTTGTCTCTTACGGCCACAACAAAATCCCAAACACGCCCTGCGGTACGAATACTCTGTCTTCCGCGATCACAACAAAACTATTGGCAAATACTGCGGGCACAATTGCCGTAAATAAATTCACGCATTAATCTCGGTTTTTTTTTCAGTTCAAAACAATTAAGCGTAATTCCCAGTTGGTGGACACCCTGAAGGTAGGAATGTGCAATGAAATGCAAGATAACTTAAGATCGTTAGTTGTTCACTTTCATTGCGATTACATAAACTATCGAGGAATCATTGTTTCCTCAATGCTGTAGGTATTAAAAAGATTTGAGGAATTAACCAGAATCGGTCCATCCAACATTTTCAAGCTTGATTACAAAATTAATGGCTTATTCCCAGTTCAGTATGTAGGCCTACAATATCATACATGTATGTAACATGCTAATTTAATAAAAACTGTCACTTCATACAAGGTATTTTTTAGGTCAGATAATATTTTTTTTTAGTTAGGTTCCTAGAAGATGCATAACAAACTTGGCCTGTTACAATTTGATGCAACGAACTTCCAAATTATTCCTACAAGGACATTTTATTTTCTAAATACATTGAGCTAATATTCGGCAAGACTTTTAGCCTTTAAACTAATTGTTACCCTCGGGCTTCGCCCTGCTTGACTAATAAAACGATTGATTGGTTGTTAAGCTGAAATATACAAAACAGAATACAGTAATACAAACAAATAATCACGCCTGATTTTAACAAGGTAATAAATTGAAAGAATAACAAACAAAGTATAAAATTGATTGCCAAATTTGTACTGGACAAGAAAGCGGGCTAATAAAAACAAACATTTTAATAAGTACAGCTGAGGTATTTTTAACATTAGGTATATGGAAAGTTCCCTTTAGAAAGGAATTACGACCCTAAAGGGCAATTTATGGAATAATGGATAGTTTTGCGCAAGGTTTCTCATCATGACTAACATTTTAAGAATATGGTTTATGGGGAGGTGACTTTAAGTTTTCTCAAAAGTTCATGGGTAGGCTACTTTGGAATTTATACATGGATTAAAATATTAAAACTTAATATTATGAAAGCACAAAAAAAGCTCATCAGATCATTCACAATCAATCATAACAAATTCAGTTGTCCCTATCTACTAAATATGTGATTTGTCATCATTTGAGCTCTCATTAAATAGGGGGCCTACATGGAAATAAACGTGTGAATTGGACAAATATTTTTTCAAAATATTTGTATTTGCTTAAATAAAATGGCCATAAGTGCACTAAAAATTTATTTTATTTTGAATCTATTAAGTTATCATTTTCAGAATTCTCATTGAATTTCCAACAGTAATAGTACAGAGTCATTGAGGTGAAACAAGCCTTTATGCTGCAATGAAAAGTTTTAATTTGGGATTTTTGAGAAAAATGCAAAAACCTTTACACAAGTTTTTCTGCTCTAAACTGCACAATATAGTTAAATAAAACCCCTAAGAAACCTTTTCAGTAAATGACCTTTAAAATGATACCTATATAAAAATCTACCGTTTCTTTGCTTTTTCATTGTTAAATTAAAGACTTTCTTTTGAAAAACCGATAAAATCTATTGCTGGCTGTATTTTGTATGGCTGTGCGCGCGGCAAGTAAAATCTATATTAAAAAAAACTAATACATCTAGTACCTTACGACGTATTTTTCCTTAAGACGGCCAGCAATAGATTTTAGCGGGCGCGCGCACTTCTTATTGCTGCTTTTACCCCCCTTAAATTACTCCCCAGGTACATGACGTTGATACTGTCGTGTCCGTTAAAGTGTCCTTTATCTGTTGGCATCATCGGTAATATGGCTTGCGGACGTATTTTTCCGTAATACAGTCAGCAATAGATTTTATCGGGCGCGCGCCCAACTTATTGCTGCTTTTACCCCCCTTAAATTACTCACCAGGTACATGATGTTGATACTATCGTGTCCGTCAAAGTGTCCTCTATCTGTTGGCATCATCGTTAAATTGCTCGCGGACATATTTTTCCAAAATACAGCCGGCAATAGATTTTATCGGGCGCGCGCACTACTTATTGCTGGTTTTACCCCCCCCCCTAACTTACTTCCCAGGTACATGATGTTGATACTGTCGTGTCCGTTGAAGTGTCCTCTATCTGTTGGCATCATCGTCAATATTGCTCGTGGACGTATTTTTCCGCAATACGGTTGGCAATAGATTTTATCAGGCGTGCGCACTACTTATTGCTGAGTTTACCCCCCCTAACTTACTCCCCAGGTACATAACTTAATGTTGATACTGTCGTGTCCGGGTCATTCCATATGAAATCAACCAATGGTCTGGAACTTGAAATCACAGAATTCAATGATATTTTTTTTATAAGTTATACTATTAGAGAATATGAAAAATACCAGGTTTTAGATTTTTTTGACTTTTTGTTTTTGAGTTATAAATTTTTGAAAATCTAAAAATCGGCCGATTTTTAACGCGTTTGGAAATCTTTAAATACCTTTAACTACAAAACTGTTCAACTTAGATAGTTCAAACTTTCACCATTCTCTTTAGAATTTCAAGAGCTACAATTTGATATGTCACTTGACTATATTAGCTTGATAATAAAAATTTTCCAAAATCCAAAAAGTTTTTTTTTTTAAATCTTAAAATCGAAATGTTTAATTTTTTGGGGGAAAAAATATGTTTTTTGTATTTCTTATTAGAGTGCATGTGCAAAATTTCATTATGGTAATCCTATGGGATCATATTTAAAAAAATATATTACTGTGTACACAGGTATAAACAGGTATAATGAACACAAGTTTTTATTGACTATAGATGCATGACGTATCATAGTACTGTAATCTTACTAGTAAAATAAACTATAATAATGATACTAATAAAATAATAACTACATTGAATACATTTTACCAATCAGTAAGCTATAGGCCTATGCCTGCCATTGTATTTTGTAGCAAATGATTCATAAAAAAGTCATTGATATTTTTACCACCACATTATAATCATGAAATTAATTGTTATGTTCTTTGAATACAGTAATGTCTTTTTCATTTCAGGCTATCACTTTAAAATAACCAATTTAATGCTGTTTATTTATAAAATATTTACAATAATATTATATATTTAAGATGGTCATATTTCAGTGTTCAATTTATTTACAATAAAAAATATCATCATCTAGTATACTAATGTGATCACAAGCCACTGTCTTGAAACCAGGATGTAATGGTTTTATGCATATAGGCCTAATACTTGCTTCTTCTTTGATAATATTTGGGAAGCTTTGGACATCATCTTGTCGGCAGATAATTTGTATGTCCTACCAGTTGGCGTGGTTGGATTAACACTGCATTAATAAAGTTATGTGGCATTGTTAATACATCTGGTATTCTGGGATATGCAAAAGAAGGAGGTGGCCCATGAGGATGGAGAAATGGTATAACTTAGTAAGTTCTTTTTCAGAGTGATTTTTAGACAAAACACAAGCTATCCAACATTTTCTGTCATATGCACAAGCAACAAATCCATTTATTTCTTCAAATGGTACATCGTTAAAGCATCTGGAGCAACTTGTATGATCCGACTTTTCAGTATCATATAATATTTTTATGTCATATCAATGACTTTTTTATGAATCATTTGCTACAAAATACAATGGCAGGCATAGGCCTATAGCATACTGATTGGTAAAATGTATTCAATGTAGCCTAGTTATTATTTTATTAGTATCATTATTATAGTTTATTATAGGCCTACTGCACTATAATACAGATCTTCCTTTATAATTATGTATTTTTACAACAAATTTTTCTTTGCTCAAACCTATTAAGATTACAGTACTATGATACGTCATGCATCTATAGTCAATAAAAACTTGTGTTCATTTCACCTGTTTAACTACACAGTAATATTTTTTTAAATATGATCCCATAGGAGTACCA